CAACACAGGCCGTAGACTCCTGATCAAATTGCACAGCAACACAACCATGCAGCAGTTTCCGTAGTGGTCAGGTTTAGGTACGGCAGCAGATGCATGGCTCAAGTCCACTAGTTTTTCTTTGTAACTTATAAGTCACTGGCTGATGGAATGGAAAAATAAAAATCAAAGTAACAATGAAAATGAAGGGAAGAAGAAATGAGGACCCAGTGCATGGTATTTACGCAGAGATTTATATTAAAAAAAAAAAATCTTGTTTACAAGGAAGGAAAGTTAAGCGGTTCAGTGACTTGCATAGCATCCTTAGCCTTAAAAAACAAAGTAGCCCTGCAAAAAATGTAATAGCCAAAAGCAGCTGAAAATACAAACCACTGCCTTACTGCTGTGGTTGTGGTCATGTGCTTGTTTCAACCTCTGCATTGTAGGCTCCCTGCTTTTCTTTTGGCATTACTTTTAACTTAGATGATTTTAGTGATCTGGTGTAGACTGTAGCCCTACAAATAATTACATCCACACAACTGCAGCTTGTGAGCAGAGACAAGTGGGGAATTCATGAGACTCAAGTTATCAGCTGACGCCAGCATGCCTTACTAGCTACATTTTAAGTAACAGAGAATTTTCTTCAAGCTCAGTCAGATATTAACAGAGATTGTAGCAACAATTGAGGTACCTGAAACCCTACCTTCATTAGCACAGTTTATCATTTAAAAACTTGTGAGGAAAAAAAAGAATTAAAATGAACTAGCTACAGAAAAAGAGAAATACAGGTGAGATTCTTTTCTAACTTTGCTTCTTTAACTGCTAGTATATATCAGTTATAGTATTTATAACTGCCAATAGAAACAAATTTTAAAAATAGAAATTGAAAAATAACATGCCTACATTTCAAGTCAAATATCATGACACTTTCAACATCAGATTCTGTTAGTTAGTCCATATATTGTGACCACAACCATAGGTACTCACCATACAGCTCAGCAAACCCATTCATAGGTACACGTGATGTGCCAGTAACAAACTGAAGTAATCTTATTCTCTTTTCTGAGTCCATCATTAAGACTGCCTACATACGATAATAATTACAATTAAAGATTTAAAGATTTTAAACAATTGTTTTAAGTTAGCAGACTTAAGCAACATGATTTAATTTTGAAATTATGTCTTATATTTGTTATGACACACGTAATCTACTCTTCTGTCTACTGCTAAAAGCTATGAAGTCAATTTTTTTTATTGCATTGTAACAAGAACATGGTTACTGGTTTAGCAGGCTGTTAAAATACTTCCCTTGAAGATTTGGCCCCTACTTTCTTTGAAGTTTCCTGATGTTATGAACTAGCAGCCAAATTCCTGTAATTTATTAAACAGAAGAGTTTAGCACCTCTTTAGTGTAACTGTGCCAGGAAGAGCTACATAAAAGTATTTTTAACCTCAGTTAGACATACATTTTTTTTTTTTCTCTCCAAAGTGCCATCTCACCTTCAGTTTTCTTACTATTTTTCCTCATAATTTTGAAGAGTCCAATACTTGCCTATTAATGAATCACATGATAAACTAGCTCAGCTGAAAAGCATCAACTTTTGAACACACTTTCTTATGCAAAAGATTAGAACTTTGTGATACCTTCCAGAACCACTGTATTACTTGGTGGTTTACATTGTAGCCATTTTTGTATTTTGTATGTAGTTTCCAGTCAGCTACATCCACATCTCCCAGTCCACACATTAATAGCTATATTAAAAAGAAAAAAAAAAAAAGTTTAAGTCAGTAGCATTAAGTTTTAACTAGATTTGTTTTCTTTTTCACAATACACTTACCTCTAGTTCATTTTCATCAAAAATTTTAATCAGATCCTGCGGTATCAGCTCAAAAAAACCCTAAAAAGTTGACGGAAAAAATATGAAGCAGACATTCACAATCCATTTTTACAATAATTAAAAACAAGCAACAATATTTGAGCATTTTTACTTACAGACAGTTACATTTGCATGTTTTCAGAAAGAAGAGACATAGCAATACATGAAATACAAATGTTTGGGCACCACTACTTGCAAGTTCTGCTTTGTATTTCTTACTCTGACCCTATCTTTCATGTTTCGTTATTGTGCTCCACTGAATGTTATATAGCATTTATACAACACCTAATTTTACTTAAGCCTATTTATTTGATTTCAGTTTCATTTCTATAGAACTGATTAAACAGTTAAAGCTGCCTGCCAAAACTAAGAAACAAGCAAACTTTCCAATAAGAATTAAACTTCTCAGTGAAAAATGTATCAAGAAATATCACTATAGGTTTTTATTTAATCTGAGATAATTCAGTCAACACCATGAACTTTGTGACTGTCATTTTTTATACCTGTAATAATACAATCTGTGAGTCTTTAGAATTCTGTGCTCCAAAAAAATCTTATCTTAAGATTACACAGAGCAAATTCTTAGAAAAATGTCTTTTGTATTTAGAACTATACCTCTTTAAAAGCTGCCATTTGTTTCTGGACTCTGCTCACAAATCTCCACTGAATTACAAGACTGTAAGCAGAAAAAAAAGAGAGAGAAAGAATAAGCACATTTAAGATGCAGCCAATTTTTACACAAATACAGCAAACAACATATAGCTTCTATTTTTAGGGAAAATATCCGGTTAGCTATGTTGCACACAGGAACACACTACTTACTGAATGTAGTCTCTCTTGTTCTTGTTGGTGACAACTACATCTGATCCACCGCTTTTCAGCTCGTGTTGATGGGTCTAAATGCGATATAAAGCAGCATGTCGTTTTAAAGCCCTGCTTAAAAGGCATTTCTCACATCATGGCCACATTAATAAAATAATGAATGGCTACGTGCCAGCTAGAGTAAGGGTGTGAATGAACTAACCAACATGACTCTGAAAGATGATGCTCTCTTATTTCTATATAGACAAAACAGTCAATTGTTTCCACGAAAAGTGTTTTGTTTCATGTTTTGTACACTCTTCTTTAAGTAAAGAAAGATACTAACCTGTCCAAAGAGCTCTTCATCAACTATAAACCTCAGGTCCAGTTCTGCTGGATCATTTTCAAGAATCCATCTCAGAGAATTGTAATATTCACTATCCTAAAAGTGAAAATTGCAAGCTTAGTGAAGGAATACAGGAGACTTACCTGAAGCAGAAAAAACAACAAACAAACAAAAACCCCAAGCCACCAACTACTCCTAAACCTAATACAACTATATGAAATCTCTTGGTGTTTTCTAGGTGAACAGTACTAGTAATTTTATTTATCTGTTGAAACCTGCAGGCAACATAGTTCATTCACTACTGAAGGTAGAATAACAATTTTTCAAGGATTTTAAGAGGAGGATGTATTGGAAAACTTCTAACAACGAAGTATTAACAAAAAAGTTTTAAATTTCAAACATATAAAATCTAAAATAGGAAATATTTAATTCCCTTTTATATAGTTCACATTTTCCAAAAACAAAATAGAGGTGAGATTCTCTCATTCTGTTCAGTCGCTTTGGATCTTTCAGTATTGTTCTTTTCCTTTAACAGGTACATAAAAGCAAAGCAAAAAAAAAAAAAAATCAAAAACCAAACACATACCCAGCAATGAAAGCCCCACCACAAGTATCAGGTACCAAGAACAGAACAAATACAGATCCTTCTTGTGTCTGTTGCCAGACAGGTAGTTGTGCAAGTTAGATTCAGGATGATATATTCTATGGGTAGCCATATAAAGGGAGCAATCTCTTCTAGTGGAGAAACCATTATTAAACTCCTCTAAAACAAATACCCAATGTTGTAGTTTCAAACTGCAATCTCAAAATAGTAAAGAATAAATAAAGTATCCAGAATAATCTTGTACTGGATACACACGGTCTGATGTTTTACAAAACCACAAAGCTCTTTAAAGATGGTTGAAACCAAGGACCCAGCTTTCTCAGAAATAACAAAAAATCTCTCACATAGCAACATATTGGCAAGATGCCACAACATCGTATTTTGAACTCTTCTCTGTTCCCTATCCTGTATTTGCCTTCCCTCTAGTGTTAGATTTGTCTTCCCTCTAATGTTAGATATGAATACAAAGGGCCTTAAGACACGAAAATTCAGGTGTATTATACTGAAAAATACCAAACAAAAAGATCTCATTAGTGAAGAATACAAAATATTCTGTATTCTTACAAGACAGAAGAGAAAAAAGTAGAGAAAAAAACATAAAATAATTAAAAATATAAAAACAATATGAATCCAAACATCTTGACACACACAATAAAGCAAATTACATACCACAGACTCCATATCGTGAAGAGTTATTGGTTTTTGGAGCATCATCTTGTAGAAAGGACGAATAAAAAAGGCTTTAAAAAAGAACAAATAAATTGAATAGTAGGAGACTTAAAATTCACAACACATGTAACATTAATCTAAAAGTCACATTACGTAAACTAAATACTAACCATCCAGAAGTTTGCCGTGGTAAACAGCCATTCCAGCTACACGACCTATAAACTTGAAATAAGAGAGATGATCTTCATTGCACAGTCCAGAGTTTGGATTGATCTGCAGAGTATAGTTATCTCTGAAGGTGGGGTAGGGTATAGGGAGGAAAAAAAGAAAAACACAATGTTTTGTACTGTGTGAAAAGTCTCACATTTGAAGATGGGAAAGACATCACTCTGTAGATCAGGTACTACTTTTCATTTAGTTAAAATGTATTTGAATTAATCATTAATTTAAGAGTAGTTAATATTCAATGTAAGCATCTATTATCTTGGAAAAAAGTTTCAATCACAAACTGCCTCTGTAACTACAGGGATACTAAGGAGAAAGGCTTAACTCCTATTAATTTAAAAGCAGTCATAATATCCTCTGCTTCTTCCTTCTATAAGCAATATGGTTGCGATACTCATATAGTTGCAAGTATATTTGTCTAGAAAGCTTACATGGTAGACCACTGAGAAAAAAAATACATAAAAACATAAATAAATACTAAAAAAATCCAGACACTATTTCTATTATTTACCAGTCAAGCTACAGAATACTTCTATTATCAATCAAATCCATATGTGCAGTTTAGAGAAACAAATAAATGAGTTAACTGTGTTTTAGAAGTATTTGTGAGAAATGAAATTGATCTGCCTTTCCTAACTGGTGTTAGTGTCTTCCAGAACTGCATACTTACGTAGCAGAATATTCAAATAATCCATAATAAGGATTAAACATTTCTTTAGAGAGAAGAAAAAACCATTCTCTGGCCACTCCTCCATAGTCTAAACCTTTTTCTCCATCAAATTCAATCCAAAGTCTTGCTTTAAGGAAATCTGCTCTCTTTACAGCTATAATTCTTCTGTAAGAATCTTCAAGGACTGTTGTGCGATGAATTTTCATTTCAAATCTATTTGGAATATCACTCTAAAAATAAGAAAACAGAGAGCAAAAGTCAGTATCATTCATACTTGCAGAGTATGAAAATTCTATGAACAGACAAAAACAAAATACTGACCTGTTTCTTCAATTTCTTTCTGAAGAACTCATACTTCCGTTTATAGTCTCTGGAGTAAGGCACAGCCTTGGGAAAAAAAAAGTACTACTTGAGATATTCTACTAACAGTTAGCTTTATATAAACCGGTCTAGATTTAATCAGACATGCGCAATACATTTCATCTCTGAGAAAACATGAATAGTTGTTTTACTAAGTACTAAGGTATGCTTTCAATTTCCAAATGTACAGACAATTCAAAGTATCTGGAACAAACTACTGCCTTGCAACAACAGATTTGTTTTAATCTGCTGCATAGAATTTACTCTGGACTTTACTATTTTACTGATGTGACTGATTAAAATTGGTGACTGGCCCAGGTCAAAGTGACCAAAATGCCTCTGGTGACTTATATAAATCCTCTTTCCTTGCTGCATCATGAGAATCCTGGCTACAAACACCTCTATTTTCCATGGAGAGAGAAGGTTGTTTACATATGCAGGCTATTAATAAACACAGATATCAGTTGAACACTAAAACCCATCTATAATTATAATGTGTATCGTCTTTGCAATTAGGCCTGACAATTTTGTGCTTAAGTATCAAGACTAAATAATTATTTTTAATTTGAAAATGAATTTTATTCCTGAAATCCAATGAAAGCAAATTTTCATGTTTTGCAAGCTTATTTCACAAATTGGGCTAGTTTTATTTTAGACACTGTTGTTCAGGATAACAAGTGAAGTTTCTTACCCACTTCAAATTGCCCCATCTTCCTCACCTATAAGGAAATCTTTTCTTATTATTGTGGGAACTGATTTTTCTTACTGGCATTTAAAACTACTTCTACAAAAGCCTTCTGAATTGTTTCTAAAGAAACTAAAAAGCCTTGTTCAAACACCCTAGAAATTTCAACTCCAGACAAAATAAATGATTTTACTAATAAAATTATTGAAAAAATGCATAAAGCTGCTTACTGGTCCAGTTATTGCCACATTCTGTAGTCGAGGATCTTCCCACTGTGTTTTCTTTGTATCTGAAAGATATATGCTCATTAGTTATAATACTAATTTAGGAAATGCTCAGTAATAAAATGATGAATAGTGAGAGAATACTACATTGTACATACTGTGATTTATGTAGAATATTCTTCCATCTGTGTGAGTTCTCTCCTCCCAGCCTGGCTATAAAAAGGAGATACACTTTTAATATAAATTCCTAGCTATACTGTTTTCATAGAATCCAAAGTGATCTGTAGTTCTAGGAATATAATCCATATCTACTGAAATGTAAAGTTGGATATTGCTTGTATGAAAAGCATGGACTGCATTCTCTAATACAGGTGTTTTGATAGTGGTAACTTAAGTATTTAAATTATTATTACATTTGAAAAACAAGCAAAATGTTTTACTTACTGGTAATGGCCCTAGGTCTACTGGATCTAGGGAAGTCTTTCTCCTCAGATGAGCAGGAATTTTCAGTCTTGGATCTTCCTTTGAAAAGAAAAGCAAGCAGCACATTATTTTTTTTTAAACCTTCCCTCTTCCCAAGGACTATGTAAAGAACATGCCAAGTACCAACCAGATAATTGCCACATATTCCTAGCCAGTCAGACTGCTGGGGATGCTCAATGCTCTTGTAGTTTATAGCCATCTTCTAGTGTTCAAATTTATTGAAAGCCTTTCACTTTATTGTAAAAACAAGAAAAAACAACACCCCATGATTTAACTTGGCTTCAGTGTAACTAAGCCAAATTGAGCTTTCCACAGGGTTTCTGGCACACTGTGTGTATATGTTTAATTAAAGTGAGTAATTCCACAATCTAGAGGAAATGAATGTTTATTTTGAGTCAATTTTGATATGTGTTTCTATATTTCCCTTTCACCTGACAGCAATACTGACCTACTCTTTAAATGCTCTTTAAATAATAAGTCCTTTAGCACTGCCTAATGGTGTGCAGTGTCACTCAGTGGAAGCACAGTTGTACAACTCCCTCATCCATACTGCAGCTGCACCTGGCCTGCTCTTGAAAGAATTCACATAATATTTGCATTGTATACTGTACTATGTGAGAAATTCAAGATACTAGATTTCTTGCTGAAGAAAACTTTACAAAATTGATTTCTATTAATGTTTACACATTATCACAGTTCTACAGTTATAACAGAAGTGCCACTTAGATGTTTAACATGTGCAAAACAGATTCCTTTATACATCAGTGTTTCCTCTTTCCAAGCTAAACTTTTAAGTGCATTTTGTGTAATTCAGTGTATTGCCCATCATAAGTATTTTAAATGGCTTTGGATTTACTCCAATGCCTTATTTGCTGATGACGAATGATTAATTTGTATGTGAAGATATCCCCTTTTTCTTGCTTATTTTTGAAGAAATAAAATAGCACTGAAATCCTACTACTAAAGAAATCCACAGATGGTTGCTGAAAGCATCAAAATTCTGATTTTAGATCTATTAGAATTTTATTCCATAATTTTCCATTACCCATGTAGTAGTTTTAGTATTGTGGTCAATAAAGAATGGTCTCCCATTAGGTGCATGTCGGACTTCCCAGCCTTTAGGGAGAAATCCTTGTTCCATTTCAGGCTGCTGCTTAGAAGACTGTTGTGTTGAATCACTTGATGTTGCCTGTGGTTGCCGTCCTACAGAAATACTTTGTGCAGTTCTCACTTGACTCGCTTCCATTGCAATCTGTAGCAAAAGACAAAAAAGATCCAAAACCCAGTAAACCAACATATATATATATATATATATATATATATATATATGTATACACACATATATTTTTTTCTATTAAGGTACCTATACTTTCGATACTTTTGAAAGATGACAACAGTTTCATAAGGCACATATCAACCTGTACAGATATTCAATTAGTCTAATTTGAGTCCATTTGACCAATAAACATTGATTATGCTATATAAGTTAACAAAAGACTTTCAGACTTCTTAAAGAGCTATCACACTCCAACAGGCTTTCTTGATGCAACAATAGATTTTGAGGTTTTAAAATATTTGCCAAATGGGGCATATAACCACTGAAATAAAGTTAATGACATTCAGACATTCAATTTAAAGGTGGACATTTTTAAGGCACACTTGGAGCAAGTGCAGGACAACAGAAGAAATAGTGCTGCAAGTCTATAATTATTGTTTTTGTTTTCTATTTGATTGCGAGGTGGAAGACAAGCCTTTGATTCATGCTTTTGAACTTACATAGTAGTGACACACCTATTTGGATCTGGATCTTAGACTTTCATTTGTGAGACAGTATACAAAAATCATGAGCCTAGAAGGAGATGACATGTCAAATGACATACATATTTTAAAGGCCAGGAGTGGATAAATAGAATTAGACAAGTATAACTTACATTCTACTGTATTTTACAAACCCAAAGAACAGACAAAGGACGAAAACAGCACTTACTCGTTCAGAAAATGGATTACACTGAATGGATTGAATTTTTACCTTAGAGCAGCTTATCATAAATATTCTTATTCCTAACTCCACCTGAATCCTATCAGATACTTAATGTAGTTCTTTATCGGTTTATGGATTTCAAAATTTTATTTCAAAATGGTTTCTAGAAATTATTATATTGTATGATGCACTTAAAAGTTCGTATGAATGGAAACAGTAATAGGTGTTATAAAACAACACAACATAAGGTACCTGTACAACTGGCTTTATCCAAGTAGTAGTTCTAGAATTGTGATCTATATAATATGATCTTCCTTTTTCATCTTGTCTTTCTTCCCAGCCTGGGGGTAACCCAGATGAAGTAGGTAGTAACTAAACATTAGTGGTAACAAAAAGAAAAGAAAAAAAAGTAAGAAAAATATGAAAAGAAACTGGATAAAATAATAAAGCAGTATTTAAATCCATACTCTGCAGTATGAATTTACAGAAAAAAAAATCTCTTTTGCATTCAGGTTCCTTGTCTGAAAGGTTTGCAAATGTTTGTTAATATATCTGGACTAAGATTGGCTGATCCAGCCTAGAACTTCTGGCTATAAACTCATAATTTTGCAATGTCACTATGGAAACATAACGTAAGGACGGAAGAACAGCTTTTAGTTGTAAAGCAAGCAGAATTTAGAAACGAAATTCACATCTTCATGCGAAGATTATTTCTTTCAGGAGGCTATACCCATTAAGCTAATGTTAAACCAAAACATCGAGTTGAAAGATGAAAGCTTTACAACTGGGCTCCAATCTTGCTAGACTAGTATAACTGCAATTTTGGCAGGACAGCTGCCAGAAGCAGAAGGCCAAAACTCATTTAAATGTCAGCACTTAATCCATAGTCAAAAGAAAGTTCTACATGAAGAAAATTTTTAAACTTCTGTGCTACATCAGTTTGTGTTTTTTGGAAAATGACATACCACTGGAAGTGCAGGCTGTTCCTCAACTCTGTATGTTTGCAGACTACCTCTTCTGCTGGAATGATTCTTGAAGCAGTGAAAGGGAATGCCACGTTAGTTAGAACTGCAGCTTTGAGTAAGGTACCAAACACTCAGACATGATCACCACACTTTACTACTTTTTCATCTTGAACAAGGTACTATATTTTGGTTTGGAATGTCTATGTAACATAACCTTTTGGTTACAGTAAGTTTGGTACAGTAAGTACTGGCTCAGTGTGTCTATAACAACTTCAAAATAGGGTAATACGTAAGCTCAGGAAAGCTCTGCAAATTCTAACAATAGCCACTCTGGCATTTAAGACATTACTGTTGGTAGCAAGCACTTACACTACAACTGAACTTTTAGTACAAAGTTAACTATGTATTTTGCCAATAGGTTAAATCCTCTGTCAGCTAAAAAACTTTTTCAGACAGCAGATCAAGTTAGTAATAAGAAGATACTGGAGTCTGACACATATAGTTTCCAAAAAGAACAATTCATTTCCTGCATTTAGTAAAAGTCTCTACCTTTCTGGCTATAGGTATCTTTCAGACACCTCATCTGTTACAATTAAGCAACTATATCTCATCTTGCTCCCGAAGCTCCAAATTGATTTAAAGGTTTTCCCCTATGTATCTACAGTTTAGGTCATTTCAAAGAAAGAGCATGACCTTTTTCTTTTTTTTTTTTCTTTTTTTTTTTTTTTTAAAAAAAAAAAAAAAAGAAAAAAAAAAAGGAGGGAGGAGGCAAGGAGAGAGGCAAGACTGTTATTCCAGCTGCATCTTGCAAGTAACTTAAGTAACTTGCAAGTAACCTGCTTCTTTCTTGGCTTAGGCTATTCAAGCAAGCTGAGATGATGACAGTTTTACCACTGGCCACGGGACTCTGAAGAGCAGAGACAGATTAAGGTAAGTGAAGTCTTGTTACTGCCACTTTGCTAGTTCCAGCAACACCGGAGCTGACTATTGACAGACTTGCAAACATAAACAATATACTTCCAACCCACATTTGGAATGGCATTCTCAGCATCATAAAAACAAAAGGCTTGATTTAAACACCAGGATTAGATGGTCTGGTTCACCTTATTTCTCTGCATAGGCTTTCCTCAATGGAGAGTGGATTTCTCAAGATATATATCAGGTAACAGGGCTGTTTGTGAAGGTCAGGTTTCACAAGACAGCTGAGCTTACTTAATTGCCTGTTGCACCAGAAGGAGAAGCCTCGCTGCTGGCTGTGCACTCCTGCTGCTTCCCCTTTGCCAAAATGGCATTTGTCGCACTGGCAGAGGCGACCAGGCTGCTGTTTCAGCTGGCTAGATCAGCAGAAAACAGAGCGTGGGGGAGCTAATAGTTTTTTGCTGGGTTAGCAAATTGAACAGATTTACCAGGAGGTCAGACAAGTGTCCTAGTTGATGAAAGGCTGTGGAACTACATGAGTGAGACCTCTTCTTGCAGGGTTACTAAGTCATCAGGATTGCTTAGCTCAATCATGAAACCTCATCGCTATCTGAATTTTATTCACATTGAAAAATAAGTTACTTAGCCCTTGTCTGCATGGAAAGAAAATAACTGTATAGCATTAATCCTTTAGAAATAACTATACTTCCAGGATAATCATATACTTTTCCTTCAGCTGTACTTTTCATCAGTACATTCATACAGCATCATACAGTATGTATCTATCAATCAAAAATAGTTAATGCAAATCTGTTTTAGTCTCAGGGAAAAAATCCTTTTCTATATTAGCAGAGTTGGGAAGAATAAAATGTCTGCTTGGAGGTAAATTCTTTAATTTTCTGCATTTGATATGAAATTATGAACACTGTTAAAATGCATCTAACAGCAGTAACATTTTGGATAAAATATTCTACATGTCTCCATATGTTAGAAAACTAAGAAAAATAATTTACAGTGTAGGCTGTTGACTGGCCAGTAGCTGTATTTCCAGAAGTAGTAAGTCTAGTATTTAGTTCTTCTGCAAGATGAGCCTGTATATCACAATTACTCTGTGGGAGAGGTGTTTGAAGGTTCTGATTACTGTACATCGTTGCCTCATCTTCTGTTATAATTTCCCAGCTCTTTAAAAAGAAAAGAGTGAAATATATATTTTAAAAATAATTGTTAAGTTATAAATAGATATAACAATTATCTTTTTAAAATAGAGATAAATTTTTTTCTTCTTCATTTTATAAACATTTCAATACTGTTTTTACCTCAGGGGAATCTCTGTTGTCTAGATTTTCTGTATCCTCTGATATCTGTCGCCGATGGGTAAATGCATGTTGGGCCTCCAACTGAATATTACCCATATCTGAAACAGCTACGCTGTCCCTATTAAAAAAAATATATATATATACACACATACACGCACACACACAAAGCTGTCAACAGTACATTAGTGATGTTTCAACAGCAATGGATAACCCAAGCTAACTCCAAAAACTTTTATTAAATTCATTTTGTCAGAAGAAGCAGTAGTCAGACAGTCCATAACAACAGAAAGTGTAAGTGAAATTAAAGAACCAGAGAGTTTTTGTAACTCAAATGCTAAAGAACAAAAGTCAAAATACAATAAGACAGATAATTTCATGCAATCACTGTCTGGAAGGAGGAACCAGTTTTTGAACTTGGAAAAAAAAATCCTTCCATTACTATAATTGTCAATTCTTACATCTGGAACTGGTTTTCATTTGAACACACATTTTTTAGGGAACAGAAAGAGGACTGTGCAGTTAAACTAACCACCTGAGTCAGTGGCCATTAAACATTGGCTTGAACATGAAAATGGCAAAAGCTCTTCTATCAAATACCAACCAGTTTACTCTCTAGATCTCACTTAGAGTGAGGTGGCAATTAATATAACCCCTGAATTTACAGGCAAAAAGACATACTGAGCAGTTGGTCGTTTCCATTGAGTTCTTCTGAACTCATGATTGACATAGTAGGTCCTGCCAAGGATATCCTGCCGTTCTTCCCAGCCCGGAGGCAGCGGAGGAGATTCTTGTTGCTGCTGCTGTGGCTGACTAGCAGCATCTGGCTGGTCCAGTATAATCCACCCAGGCTAAGAAATATAATATTAACAACACTCAATTAAAATGACTAAGGTTGAAAAAGTGTAAAATACTCCTATTAATTGGAAAAAAAGTGAAACACCGAAAATAGCAAAGTGTCAGTGTCTGGCTGGCAGTATATAGCCATATTAAAAAGCAGTAAAAATACAGAGAAATGATATTTCTGAAGTATTTCTAAAATTTACATTAAAATTACATAAAAGTTTTAACAGATTTGCTTCTATCTTCTGTAACATTGTAAAAATGTCTGAAAAATTCTGGAGTTATATTTTCTAGTTAAAGAAATATATTACATTTCCTTATATTATTCTTATACTATTTCCTAAAATAACTGCAAAAAAAAGTACATTAGGTTTGTTTTGATAGTGATGGGTCATATTTCTAAAAGACTGTTTACAGATCACTATTTTCTAACAGCCATCTTTATGTTAGCTATCCTTAATAATTGAAGAGCAAGCACTTCCTATGTTTCTCAGCAATATATACAGCTTTTCCCACCTCCAATTCTTCGGCCTGTTCCGTGGTTTCTTCTTCAGACCCATTGTTCTTAGGTAAGTAAGTCATTTTTAATCTAAGGTGGCCTTTAACTCTTGATTTATGGCTGCAGAAGAGAAAATAAAATGCTGTTACCAAGCCCATGTGAAAGATGATATTTCTGGTTAAACCAGCAATTCACTCTAGAAGTACATAATTTTATCTCCATCTGAAACATCTACAGAAGTTATTACGAGCTAACAAATGCCATAAGTAAAAGACACTGTGAGACCTTGGGCTTTATACTTTCAAGATCAAGTGTCTTCAAAATGACCTTGAAAATTTTTAATAAGTGTGAATTTAATCTAAAGACTGTTAACCTAAAAACTGTTTATGTGAAATGGCAACAAAACACAGACATCTTTTCAGGGAAGGCAGGATACAACAGGAAGCTGAAAGAGGGTAAATCAAGTATGACATAACATTGGTCACAAATTTCACTATTGAGTGAAGAGTAAATTCATCAGGTCATAAGAATTGTGTCTTAGATGGATAAAATTGTTTGCTCTCAATGGATAATCTTCAAGTATATAAACAAATGCTAACTTAGAACCATTACTATCTTATTCCACTGAAACTTAAACCTCTTTGATGAAAACATGCAAATTTAAGACAAAAAAAGTGGCACTTGCATAGTAGCGCTGTGTAGCTATGAAAGGCAGAAGTTTTATATGGCATTTACTAACCTTCTTGGATGAAGAACAAAATCCTTAAATGTATATGGTCTCTCCATACTGGGATTTTCTGTCTGGAATAAGACAGATTTTTTTTGTTTATTTTCCCCTTGTCCTGAACACCATCAAACACCAACAAATACTTGCATTTAAAAAATAAATCCACTTTGAAGTCTATAGGACACTTTAAAAATCTGAATTATAGATTTGTGCACAGTAATAACAATGTTACCTGCTTTAGCTATAGAGAAAAGCCAATTCCCAGGTCCAGGGCAAACAAACAAACAAACAAACAACCTCACCACTTTACCTTACATTTTATACTGTACAATTTCTAAAGCAGAGAAAAGATGACTGCTTAGCCTGGAATCAAGAAACAGTTTCTCAGTTTTCATGTTAAAGAATTTTATCATAACTCTTTCCTCTCTCAATTTTTTTTTTAATATACTTACAGAAAACAGACACAAAAAATGTTTTTTGCCCAAAGACAGAGGCGAATAGAAATCACATCCCAGAAGCAAATACAGAAACATGGCAAAAGAATTCTTTAAATATATGTGAAGGAGGAAGAGATCTAGTTTGCTATTAACATATATATTTTTGCACTTGACATCTGTTCTGCAATTCTCACAGAAATATGTTGTTTTTTACAATACTATGTGTTTAGAAAGATTTGCAAATGTTTATTGCAAGTTTTACATAAAAGGGATTTTTATCTTTTTTCTTAAGAATCTTAATTAATACAGAGATAGTGCATAGTATGAGGAAAAAATGCATCCAATATATTTGAAGAACTATTAATTAAAAGCAACATTACAGGAAACTATCCTCTGAAGGCCAAGCTAATTTCATAATATTATTTTCAAAAGTGTCTATTATGTGCCAAGATTTCTGATTAAAAAAAACAAAAATCCCGCTAAGGGAAGTCTTATTTATTAAAAATTCTACAATAGACTTGGAATTGTTAAGCCTTTTTATGATAATGTCCTAAGACATCACTAATATTAAGCCAACTAAATTTTACTGTGTTGCACTGCATTTCAGAAAGAAAAAATTATTTATTTCTAGCTTTTCATTGTAATTCTTATCAATACAATTAAAAGATATCACACTCAAGAGGAAATGTTCAATCTTCAATGAATTAAAATGCACATGTTCTGTGCTGTAACAGTAACACATATATCAGATTGAAGTACCTGCAAAATTAGAAGTTTATACTTATAATATATGTAGAACTCTTAATGACAAGATAAATACTGTTAAGAAGGAAAAAAAAAAAAGAAACAAAACAAAAAAATTAAGTAGGTTAAAATAGATTAAACTTGGAACAATAATTTTTGGTTTTGGAAATACAAGATATATATTCGTAAACTGTCTTACTTCACAGATTATTTATCATTTTCACATTTTCTTTATTACAAGCTCTTTTCAGCTATGGGCAGCTTGTGTTTGCATGACGAGGCATTTCGCCCCGGCAGGCCACGCTACCTGGGCGAGGGAGCGGAGCGAGAGGGACATCCCACGTCCCAGCGGGAAACGCCAAGCAAGGCCGTCGCTCCTCCCGCACACACCATCTCCGAACGAAACAGAGAGCAACTGCCCTTGCAAAGGCTTTGCTTGGCCTATATTTAAAATAGTTGCCGATATGCCTGCAAATATTTTCTAGTGTTTTGAGAGCTCAGAAAAAAAAAAAAAAAAAAAAAAAACAAAAAAATTTCTTTTCTTAATATACTTATGATCTTGGGGATCTTCCCTTAAAATTAACAAAATGCCTTGCAGAATGAGTAGAACAACAAAACCAAGAGAATGTACACAACATTATTGGTTCCATTTCTCCACTTAAGCCTTTTCCGTATTAGTTTATGGGAATAAGAAATATTAAAAGTAAGTTTGGTTAAATATTTTAGACAACTAAACAATTTCTAAAGAAGAGTATGTTCAGAGCTATGACTATATTTACAATTTCTTTATCTTTGATACTATTTCAAGCTTCTTTTTTTATTCCTGAGGAAACTAAAAGCACTCCTGCACTCAGTTCTATCAGCAGAAAGTAGTATCTAAAGGCAAAGTAAACTACATGATTCTTGAGAAATACCAGCACTAAAAACAAGAGCAGGAGAATTTAAAGCTCATCTGGATATGGTCCATGCCGTTGGTGACTGTAATGCAGTTCCATACAAAAATCACTTTTACTTTTCAGAGTCTTAAAAAACATATATAAACACACACAAACCGGTAGCTGATGAAGAGGAATATCCACTTGCCCAAGAAAATCATCTCGTGTCTAGGGAAAAAAAAAATAAGAAAAAATAAAAAAAACAGACATTTGAAGTTGCGAAGAGTTTTACAAAGGTTGTTCTGAACCCTAATACAACAGTAATGTTTAAGAGTTTGAAGCCACACTAAATTAGAGACAAAATCTGTTCTGACCAAACAAGAAGTTGATGAACACAGTACTCAACCTCTGAAAATTTTGCTTCTTTCAAAATCGCAACAATGGCATGTAAGCAATACCCCCCTCCTTTTTTTTTTTTTAAATTACATAAACTAGTGATAACAAAAGAGTTGTTGTTCAGTGTCAGGATTGAGCTCCTCAGTATCTCTAATGGCAATACTGTTTTAAAAGGCAAAAAAGTATTTCCCCTTTAGCTGTTCCAGTAAAATAATAATCTTGGTATATGGTTAAGTAATTAAACAATTCCAAGTTAATCTGAACAATGTTAATAGACATCTGTTATAATATAATGAGACTGGCAATTTCCGTAAGACAGCTAAGACAGACCTTTATTAAAAATTTTGAAATGCTGAAAACAATATAGCTATTCTGAAAAGTAAGACTAAGCAACAAGCAAGTTTTTTCTATGATCAGTTCTTCAGCATTTTCAGTTATTCTGGCAGTCCCACACCTGGCAGCAAAAATGTCAGATCTGCACCTCCCACTCCAACACGCCTGTAGACATCAGAATATATGCCAAAGTATAAGTTATTTCTCTGGAAAATACTACTGACCTACACTCTGCAAAGTTTAGCTTTAACAGCTAAAAAAAATCCTAAAAGGTCCTGCCCACCCCGGACGCCTGCACTTTTCAAACGCTTTCACTCTGGGCAGACTACGAATGCGGTAGCTTTGCAGCCTGGCTCTCTCCAAGCCAGCCCACTCCAAGCTAGTGACGATAATACACAGTAACATTGTACAGCATAGTTTTACCACTGATTCTTTCCTGCCAAAGAAATTAAGATTTTAAACAGTGTACATTAGGCAACTAAGGTAATTTCAGTATTTGCCAATAGTCACTGCCAAGAGTCAAAATACTTTGAGTTCTTGTGGGACTACTGGAGTATGCATCGAGCTGTTTCAATTTCACTTACCATTTAAAAGCCTTCACAAGCCTTCACAAAGGCAGGAAAATACATGGCTTATATATATCGAAATACAGCTGAAACCAAGAGGGCATGACACTTTAAAGAGGCATGCATGAACCTATGGCATTTTTCAAAAATCCACAATATAACAAGACTATAAGTCTTTAAGAGACTAGCAGTCTTCAAGAGCATGGCATGTGCAGCCCTTAGATTTCTAGCCTTCCTGATTTCTCCAGCTAGCAAAAAATTCAGAACCTTGTTCTTTGCTAAACCTATTAGGGCATCACAAACATTTGCACACACTCAACACCCAAAGGTTTTGCTGACCTTCTTCCATAAATGCGGCCATTACCAGTGTCTGTATCTCAGGCCCAAAATTTCAAGGTAATAACCTTCCCTTCCAGTTCTGCTCACTCCCTCAGTCTCATTGACACATACTCCATTTTAACATCTCTGACTTTAAGGATACAGGTATTTTTTTAAGCAGTTCTTCCTGCCTTAACTGAGGTACCCTTATTTGCTAGGTCTGCTGCCCACTTTTGCCACTTTCACCTTTAGACTAAACATTGCCTTCCATTTGGACAAGTTGATTGACAATGTTCCTTCAAAGCTCTGAAATTTTTACCTCTCCAAGAAGCAAAATTTGGATCTTATCATACAAGACAACATGCTAGAAATCTAGAGACACACCATAGAGTATGTCTATTTAAAAATATGTATGCCTTGGATTTGGATTTGAGAAGAAAACTGCTTTTAGTTCACAAACTGGTCTGGGCTAAAACACTACAATAACTTTCATACCTGAGCTGCCTGAAGATTCCCTGAACTACTAAGAGAAAACTCTGTATTGTTAAAGACCACAAACTTCTGGAAAAAGAGAGCTATCATTTTTGCCTACGAAACTGTTTTTAAAAATGGCCCAGCCCAGCCCTGAGAGATGTTAAAAGGCTCGGGATTTGCGGCGGTGCTGGCACTGCTTCCTGGAACATGCCCTTCCGATAAATTACTGGAATGTGGGACAAAAGTCTGCCACGCCGCAGAAACCTCAGAACATTGTGTTTGCTGCAGCAGGGTCTTCGCACGGGCTTCTGCTATTTGCTTTATTATTCATGCTGTCTCTCCTGCTATTTTTAGCAGAGCCAGCCTCGATAACCAACCTTTAACAGTACTTTCTCCTCCAGCCAGAAAGCCAAATCCTCCAGTGGAGATTTCTGTTGACCTCCAGACTACTAATAGGTAGATCGGATGGCAGGCGTGCTCCCCAGCAACGCGCTGCGACGAGCTGACTAACTGGCTTCAAAACAGTGCCAAGGCAGCGTCCAAACAGACACCCTGGGCACTAACCATTAAATGCCGGTGCAGCCGGAGCCGCCCGAGCTCTGGGTCACGAGAGCAGGCGCCGGCTTTTCCCGAAAAGACAAGCGGGGCACTTCTGGGTGCAGACTCCTCGTTTCTTGACAGCCAGAGAAGGCCTTTCTGCTTGCCAAAGCACAAGTGCACAAACCTCAATTAATGATACAGGACGCTAACAAAGAGGCCTTGTACATTACTGATCCTGTGGTTTAGTCTATAGAAAGTTATTAAAAACACGAGAGGGGAGACAGCTGCTGTACGAATTGCACTTAAAGAACGAGTGTAATGCCAAAGCGAGCACGCAGTGAGGAAAACCATTAAAAAAGCATGCAGACATACTTGAAATCAAAAACTCATTCTCATCTATTTGACGAATTTGTACTTAAGCTGCGACAGTTAAGAATTGGAAACTTTTTTACATTTCCCATTAAAAACTGGAAAAAGTTTTTAAACTACTAATCCACATGCTTGTCTTAATCTCTCATTTAAGTGCATCACTTAAAACCCTACCCATAATTTATCTAAGACAATTAATTGAATTCAGTGCCCTTCTTAATCAGTAGATTCCTCACGGCACCATTTGAAAAGCCTCTTGTCTAAGTTCAAGGTGTTAAAATAACATTTTCTCTACCAACATTTGTGACTGTAATTCTTTTGGTCTTAGCAAACTAGGTACAAGCTAAGTATATTCCCAGGTTTTACTTAATATAACAGACAGCTAGTTGTACATGAAGTTGGTCTTCATTCTTCTCGAATGAAGAAACCTACAGCTGTATGGGAAAAGGAGGAAAACATACAGCTTTTATTGGAGGGAATATAAAGTATCAATTCAAATTGAAAAAACAAACAGTGATCCGGACTATCACTGCTAAAGAAAACAAGAGCTCAATAGATCCCTTATAAAACCAACATTCTTCCTGCTTAAACACCCAAACATCAATGTTAGCTACAAGCTTGATGAGAATGGAGAAAAAAACAAAAAAAGAAAGAAAATACCTTTCATGAGCTACACTAGCAAAATCAAGTATTTTTCTTTTCATGCTGCACTGGGTATATTATTTGGCTCTCAAACTTAAAATCAAGTCAGTCAAGCTTCTTTTCTTCCATAACATACTGTCAGCATATGCTATTCATCACAGGAAAATAAAAACGTCAGAAAAGCAAAAGCGAATTATCACATCAAGTTGTTTCCAAATCCATGGATTCTAAAAAAAACAGTTTTCTCTGTTATTCAAAGCAATAAGTACTCTCCTCCATGGAATGCATTCTAGTCACAGTTTCCTGTATTTTAAGGGAGAAGAGGAGGATGCCTATCAAATGTAGACACCACTTTGTTAATTAACACTTACGATCAAACTGGCCATAACACAGCTGACAGCTACAAGATGCAGGAACCTCTCAGCACTTTCCAACTAGAGAAAACACCTCCTGTCAGAGAGATGGTTATTCTGCAAGCTGTGTTCTGCAGGACCCTCACCCTGCCGACTGCTGCCAGAGCAAGGAGTCGGCGTAACCTGCGTCAGCATCATCATCTGGGTAACAGGCAGCGTTTGGAACAAGACTCAAGTTATTTATCCTAATTCTTTCTCACTTCTAAGTGATCTTTTCAGAGAACTGCTGCTCTATATAGGCCAGAGCAAAAATATCATCTGCTCCTCTATTCAGAGCTTGTACTTCTTATTTAGAACCAGTATTTTATAGATAACTTCCCTGCAAGTTCATATTTAGTCTACAGTAATTTTATCATAACATTTTTATATTAATCCATTCAATGTTAGCAACTTTGAGAACTCGTGCTTATATGAAAGTATTTCCTTTAAGGTAAGATTCTACTTTTTTGTGTGTACAAGACCATTTTCACATGGCTCACAGGAAGACAAAACACCTTTTGATACTACTGAAGCATTCTTAAGCAAAATGTAAACATAGAACATGTCAAAAAATTGGTAACGCATGTTTTTCATGAATTTGAGTTCTGGTTTTATGAAGAGGTGTGTCAAGTGATCTACTATGTAAAAAGCAGGAATACTATGCTCTGTAAGTCAGGAACTAATCCAGATTTGGCACTCTAGTGATAAACTCACCAATGCTTAAAAAAGTTTCAGAAAACAGTACTACATATTTTTACTAGGTACTATTTTGATAAGCTTCTTCTGACAAGTCAGTCTTATTTACAATGGTATTAAAAACATGCAACTTTTGCATCTATTCACAGGAGTTTTTGTGGCAAATCTTACAACTCCTATTAAAGTTTGAAAAACAAATGCATAAGGTGCGCAACCGCATGCACAATTTTACCTTCGCTGGTTAATAATCAAAACTGATAATTTCAAAAATCTAAGCCCTATCAAATGTTAAAACTGAGTATGTAATCTTCTCCCTGAAATGAGAGGTATGACAGATGTTCGCCACACTGGCTACAACACTCAGCCAGAGGACTCAAGACAGGCAATTTTATTGTAAAATTATTCAGAGCAAGGGGGAAGAAAAACAAGATCAAAAATCAACATGAATAATTTGGCAATTGGAGCATCTCTGTCTCATGGTTTCACTCCTGGAAAGCTGATT